GTTGATTACGCATTCAACTATTCAATCTATTTGTCATTGCATTTAAATGCTTTATGCATAGCTTGCAAGGTTATGTTTTGCATACTTTGTGCATTCTGCATATGTGTTTGATGGAAATTACTACTATGGGGGTTCTCCAAAATCTCACCCTCCTTTTCACGATGTACAGCAAGTGCAAGTAGCTCCAAGGGTAAGGACGTTGTAAGAGTTGAAAGTGGGCATGTATGAAGAGCAAGAATACCTGCTACTTACCTATGAAGTCAATTATTTTAGTAGTTAACTAACTAACTTATTTACATGTTTATAGGCAAGTAACCACTACTTGCTTGTGTATATACCATTTTGTATCCTCCATAAGGAGGTAAGCACTACCAGCATACAGGTAAGTGCCATTGACCGAGATGGCTAATGTATATACAAAGATATACCTTTGTATATAGCGTTATTATTAAATATGTGCACCTACATTATTAGTAGTACAGGCAGGGTTTAAATGTGAATCACTCGTAAGTTTTTAGTTAGTATATGATTTGAAAAAAGAACTTTACCTACTTTTTTTCTGGATAGAAACCTGACGTTTAGTGATTCATAGACCTTAAAATGACCCTATAAGAGTATTAGAAAGTTAGGGGTTGCAGTTCTGACTTCTAGCATCACTAATGATGGCTTTTGTCTTCCTCTTCCATGGTAGCCCATTTGTTGCAGTAGTTTGGAACTATGGTGGTAGCATTGTCTGTCTTAATGTGTAGCTAATTTTATTGTGCTTCTTGCAGATGGAGCAGCGACTGGAGTTCCAGAGCTATCATAGGGCGTTAATTTTGTTCAATTCATTTTCTGTTATCTAAATTTGGATTCTATAGTTGTAGATTGTTGTTTTTGTAATGTTAGAGACTAAGATTTGATTACCTTTGTTGAATTGAACAATTGTGATTGTGATTAGATTTTATAGGCTTGAATGGGATATATTCATATATCCCCTATTTGAGGTCATTGCTATTGTACTGTTTGGCATGTTAGTGTGGATGATACGGTTGAATTGAGCTTATTGTTGAGTGCTTTGGTTAAGCACTCTGTTCAATGTCTCGGTTGAGCATTATTTTTAAAGCGGAATGAGCTATTTGATTTAATCACAATTGCATACTATGTGGTTTTCAATAGTAATTTAAGAGGTGTTTATTTAACTACGGTAGTAGGAGTAATCACTAATTAAAATTCCTAGACTCAAACGATGTCTTGGGGTTTTTTTTATTAAGACTTAGTGTATTGTTTTAACTCCCAAAATCTTTTGAACAAGGAAGGTCACTAATCCTTCCCAAGGAGCATTCTTATCATACATTTTATCATTCCCATTCCTATTCTACCTTTGTGAAAGAAAATATAAAAAACAGTAGTTTATATTCTTAATTCATTGCTTCTTTAGTAGTTGCGAGAGTAAAATTAATTTTCAAAACCCAAAAACTTTTTCCTTATCAATTTATTATGTTGATGTTTAGTTAATTTATGGTTTCAAATAAAGGCTCCTCAAAGTAAAACAACATAAGTTTTGCACTATACTATGTTGCCTGGGTTTATTTTTTATTGGGAATCCAAGGCGTAGGACAAAGACTCTCATCATACATCAACTTTGAATCCCATAAACTATGGATCTTGCATCATGTCGAGGCTCAATTATTCATTAAGTATATGTTATAAAATTCATGTTTTTCAGTAAGTACAAATCTGAAAGTGCTTTTGAATAATTCGTACAGACACAAATCACTGTTGTTAAAATCACATTTGAGATGAAGCATTTAAACAAATCACATTACAACGAGAACTGTTTTTGATACAATTAAGTTTGAAAAATTAATCTTACCCAAACTTAGCTTACTGAAATCTAACAAGGAAAGAAATATCTTACACACTCAAAATTGAAACAACTATCTCGAATATTCTGAATGAAATGTTAAGTCATCTATTCTCTATTTCTTTACTTTTTTTTTTTTGGGGCTAAGCATATGTATTCTTTTATTGGAGGCGAAGCGCTGTTGTGAATGACACTTTTCTTAATGAGAATTTAAACCTTAGTTCATTATGTTGTAAAGGATTAACACATTTTGCTAGATCCAACCAATGTTGGTTCTATCTTCAGTTTCTAATACTGAGAGGAAGATTATTTGGCGTAGTGGATACATAATATTGAGGAACACGTGTTTTCAAGGAAAATTACTAGCACTCATATTACTTTTCTATTTCAACATTTGAACACACTATCGTTTTCATCATTATTTAACATCAATCCTCATTAAATCTGAAAATTTTCCAGCTTCAATAACAGTGCTTAAATCTGAAAATCTTTATTTGTGTTTGATCGGATAATATAAACTTTTTTGATGGCATCAAGATAGTATAAACTTAATTAATGATAGAATGTGCCACTAGAATATTCCTCCAAATTATTGTTCAGTTTGCATCAAGACAGCTATTAAATTTACGCGTTAGTTATGAACAGTTGCTTTGATGTTATTGAATATATACCTGTAGCTGACACTTCCATTTTCTAATTGTTACCAAAATTTCTTTAACATAAATTATTGAAGTGTTGGCGTTTGTTAATAAATGTTCAATTTGCCATCAAGATGTACTGAGAGTGACAATTTGGAACTTTTCAAAAATATGAATCATGTGTAGAGCAAGCCATTATTATTGCTTACGAAACCTATAGTTTATCTCAAAATGACAAGCACTAAACAGCTACACTACTTTTATATTATCATTCATAAGATTCGCACCCAAAAGATATTGAAGTAAAGGGTTGAAAACTTCAAAGAGGCGAAAGTCAGAGAATTCAAAAATCATTCTTCAGGTGAAGTCTTACCTATCTATAAAAGGCAAGATTGCAAGTGGTGGATGATAAGTATCCACACAGAAACACAAATAAAGAAACACATAAAGATAAGCATTGCCCAAAGATGGAGAATCCTAAGTGGACAAGATCATTGGGAGGATCTTCTAAACCCTCTCGACATTGATCTCCGAAGGTACATAATCCACTATGGAGAAAGAACACAAGCCACTTATGATACTTTCATCTCAGAAAAAGCTTCCAAGTTTGCAGGAGCAAGCAAGTACTCCAAAAGGAACTTGTTCACAAGGGTGGGTTTAGAGAATGGGAATCCCTTCAAGTATACTGTGACTAGGTATCTGTATGCAACATCACAAATCGCTGTTCCTGAAGCTTTTATAATACAATCATTGCCACCGGAATCTTGGAGCAGCGAATCAAACTGGATAGGGTATGTTGCTGTGGCCACAGATGAAGGCAAAGCTGTATTAGGAAGGAGAGATATTGTGATTGCTTGGAGAGGAACAATAGAAACGTTGGAGTGGATTAATGATTTCCAGTTTCTGTTGGTTCCTGCTCCTATAATTTTTGGTGGTTCTGGATTAACCGATCCTAGAGTGCATCAGGGTTGGTACTCTATGTACACTTCAGATAATCCTGAATCTCCGTACAACACGACGAGTGCAAGAGACCAGGTATTTGTTTTCTTTTCCCTTTTGGTAGTTAACTGCTCGTCGTGAGCCATATTAGATTCTAACTAATCCGAGGGTCAAACCTCCAAATGAGAGTAGCTTTCATAAGGGCATATTTTTTACACACATAGACTAGAACTCAAGTTGTGCTTAAGCTGAATCTCGTGATTTTATATTTTGAATTGTGAATTTTAATTTTAGTCTCAGTTTAAATTACCCTATCAATTGATTGAATTTCAAATTAAGATCCAATAAAGATAGCTCTGGTAAAGTTTATTGAAATTTAGTAAAATTCACTCAAATTCAACCCCTTCAAATTTATAAGATTATTCAAATTTGACAATTTCTTAGGTCTTAGACGTGCTGATGATACTTACTAATGCTTTATGTCCAGGTCCTGACTGAGATTAGAAGGCTTGTAGATCTATACAAGGATGAAGAAATCAGCATAACTGTAGTTGGACATAGTTTAGGAGGTGCACTTGCAACATTAAACGCAGTGGACATAGCTCAAAATGGCTATAACAAGCCAACGGACACATCAGACAAGGCATGTCTCGTCACAGCCTTTGTGTATGCGTGCCCAAGAGTTGGAGAGTCAAACTTCAATAGGATTTTCACTGGCTTGGAAGATCTAACGGCCTTAAGAATTAAGAATATTCTTGATATTGTTCCAAACTATCCCGCTTTGCCCTATCTAGATGTGGGTGAAGAACTGGTAATGAATACTCAGCAGTCACCATACTTGAAGAGTCCAGGGACAATCCTTACTTGGCATAGCTTGGAGTGTTACTTGCATGGCGTTGCAGGAACACATGGACTTGATGGAGAGTTTGAATTGATGGTGAATCGTGATATTGCGCTTGCGAACAAGCGTGTGGATGCTTTGAAAGATGAAAATCTTGTTCCTGTTTCATGGTGGGTTGAGAAGAACAAGGGAATGGTTCAACAATTAGATGGTTCGTGGGAGCTGATGGATCATGAGGAGGATGACTTCTAATGATTCGTCAAGGTTACTGTATAAAACGTGGCTTCTTGTGCTTCTGATGAGTGTTTCAATAAAATATCGACAATGCGTGTGGTTGTTGCTTCCAATTGTGGAATTTATTTATGTTCTAACCCAAACTACTGATTCCGCACGTGTTTTCGAATAAAGTATCTATGTTATGTGTCAGTGAGTTCATTGAATAAAGCATTGACTTTGTCTCTTTCCTTTGTACCTTTCATAAATAAGTTCCATGCTATGTACAGTTACTTTGAACCTGATCACCTATGTATTCATTTGCAGGCTCAATTTGTCATTAAATATTAGTATGTTATTAAATTCATGTTCTTCAAACAATTACATATCTAAAAATGCTTTTGAATAAATCATATACACACATAAATTAATTTTGTCGCAATCACATTTGACATAAAGCTTTTAAACATAACTCTTGTTACAACCAGAACAGTTGTTAATATAATCTAATTCGAAAAATCAGTTTTACCCAAACTTAGTTTTACTGAAATCCAACGATGAAACTGATATCTTACACGCTCAAACTTGAAATAACTATCTGATCTTAAGGGAAAACACAACAACGAAACAACATCTTAGACACCCAAATAGAAACTAAAACTCATTAATGGAATCATCATTCTTCAAGTTCAGGATCTGGCAAGAGCCAAGAACCATCAGGTTGTTGAACCAATCCTTTGTTTTGATCCACCCTCCAAGCCTCAGGAATATGATACTCATCCTTCAAAGCAGCCATGCTTTTGTTGACAAGTGCAATGTCTCTTTTAGCTTCTAATTTAAATCCTCCTTTGCTCCCTTGTGTTCCTGCAACTCCATGCCAGTAAACTTCCAAATTATGCCAACTCTTCAAATCACCTGGTTGTTTTAAGAAGTTTGATGCCTCAGTATCGATCTCTAACTCTTCTCCCACTTCTGCATAACCCAAGAAAGGATGCCTTGGAACAATATCATTTTTATTTGTAATACGTAACATACGAAGATCTTTTTGACTAGAGAAGAATTTTTGAAAGTCTCTTTCTCCTACACGAGGGCTTGCAAATACAAATGCTGTGACTGGACAAGCTTTATGAGATTCATCTTTTCGAATGTTGAAGTCATTAGCGACTATGTCAACTGCATTCAGTGTCGCAATTGCTGCACCTAAGCTATGGCCGGTAACTGTTATGCTTATTTCTTCATCTTTAAATTTATCCACAAGCCTTCTAATTTCAGTTAAAACCTGCATAATAAAATTAATACAATTAAAAAATTGTGTTTAAAAATAATAAAAATATGTTAGACAATATTTATGCATATTGTCATACATGCTAATTTTATAGGCGACCACACCAACATCACATTAAAAGTATTTTTGTCCTCATAAATCACAGAAATCACAAAATATACTAGATTAATTGTCCAACCGAACTAGTACAAGCTTGTATGATTAACCAAAACCACCAATAGAATTATTAAACATATATAACATTAAAGGAAAAACCAACCAAAAGATAAATAAAAATAAAAAATAATATAGTTTTGGGTTATTGGAATATGGGGAAAAAATGGGGTAAACTTGTTCCGGGGTGTTTTGAATCGGACATAGACATTGCTACTTTTTGATCCAAGGGTTGTTTGGATTTACGTTTGATAAGTGCTCATAGATACTTTCACATAAATTAAGACAAATTTTCTCACATACTTATCTCATATTCGATAAATTATTATTGAAAAGCTGTTTATAAATCATTTTAAAGAAAGCCCCAATCGGTTGAATTCACCAGTCCAGTTCAGTTTTAACATCTTTGCCATTATGGTTGGGGCAAAACAACAAGTTATGCTTCATCCATGCATATTATCATCTTTTTGCATCTTTTTCTCTCCCTCATGCATTAACAAAAACATATGTTACCTGGGTTCTCGCGCTTGCTTTATTGAAGACTGATTTCGAGTGGGTGGCTGTGTAAATAGAGTAAAATCCTCGATGTACTTTACAATCAGATCGATGAGGACCAAAAATGATTGGAGCATCATCCAATAGGAACTGAAAATCTTTGACCCATTCCACCATCTGCACAGTTCCTCTCCAAGCAATCACAATGTCTCTCCTCCCTAACACAGCTTTGCCTTCATCCGTGGCCACAGCAACGTATCCTATCCAATTTGATTCTTCAACGTCTTCTATTATAAGAAAATCCTTTTCCGAGGTTCCATAGAGGAACTTTGTCACCTCGTACTTGAAAGGATTTCCTTTTTCCAAACCAACCTTGGAAAAGAAATCTCTTTTCCCATAACGGCTCATTCCAACATACTTTGATGGTTCATCATCATTAAAAGCATCATAAGTAGCTTGAGCCATTTCTCCATAGTGTATTATGTACCTACGAAGATCAATATCAAGTGGGTCCAACAAATCCTTCCAATAATGTTCGCCACTAAGTTCCCTCCAGTTTGTTGCAATGCTTCCAGGTTTGACCATCTTCTTCTTGTCTTCTTCAAGATGATCAGCCACAGTGTTAGAATTCACGGTTTTGCTCTCACTGCTGCCCATCTTCTTCTTCTTCTTCTTATGAACTGCTTTATCAAACAATTGAAGTTCGTATGGGTGATGATGAAGATGGGTTAATTTGAATGCCTACTTATACTAGCAAATGATGACTCCGTCCGTTTCTGGCATGCTTAGTCTTCTTGAATTTGTTCAAACTTTGTTTCAAAAAGTATTTGGCTATGTTGATTCAGTCTTTTGTTTTAGAAAATGTATGTAATTGATATTAGTGTTGGAATGTTAGGTTTTAAATTCAATTTTCTTGGTCTATACGAAATTGATTGGACAACTAGAATTTTAGGCTTCTAAGTTTACCGTTTCTCAGTATTTGAAGCCGCCTATAGGTTGACTTTGCTTCGCAAATGAATGCTTGCTATCGAGCAATTTTTTTTGAATGATTGCTATCGAACAATTTAATGAGCATGATTGAGATTTTCGGGATTTAGCCATGATAATTTAAAACAATAATCAAGATAGTTTATAAAATTATTTTACATACTAAGAAATGGATAGAAATGGACGGGATAGGAAGTGGAGAGATTCCTTTCCTGAGATTTTCATACTTTAAAGCCTCAATTATTCAGACCGAGAAATGGATCACAGAAAATACGTGTACAAGATATTAAAAAAATGCATTGTACTCTTTTATACGTTGGCTGGGAAAAAATTAAGGAGACTTTTAAATTATGTTTGCGAATCCTGTATTAAACATTACTCTGGATGAAACATGAAGTCGTGAATCTTCATTAATACTTGAAAAAAAAATATTTTATTCAGCGTGGATATATATAATATCGTAAAGCATACGTGTCCAAGAAGTCCAAATATATCTTACAATGGTATTTGCTGCTTGAGGAAGAAGAAATTTTAAATTATGCTTGAAAACGGAGAGAAGGAAAACATTTCATTTCACTTCTTCGAAATGAACGATTTGTGTGTTGAGGAGTCTAGCTGAAGATAATTTTGTTTTATTATTGAAAACAGAGATATGTTAGTTAATCTTTGTTTTTTTTTTAAAAGCAAACCAAATTTCTGAAATTGATTGCGTATTTTAAAAAGCTCAATTATTATTCTGACCACAAAGAGAAAAAGAACTACTTAATTCATTATGGATAACGGAAGAAACGTGCACAAGATTTTTAAAAAAAAAATGGATTGTATTAATTTATGATAACATTATGGAAAAAAAAATTGGAAGCCGTACTGATAAAAAAATTTTATTCCGCCTAGACATATATATAATATTAGGGAACATGCGTGTCCAAGAAATCAAAATATATTTTAATCTTTGTTATACACTAATTGGGAAAGAAGAAATTTTAAGTTATGATTGAAAATAGATAGATGGGAAGCATTCCACTTCTTCAAAATGTATCAATTTATTGACAAATTAATTATATATTGAGAAAATGACATGTAAATTAAGAGGATAACATATTCTCTTCAATTTCTCAGCTTTGATCAATGAGTCTTCTTTGTCATGACCTTCCCTATATTTTTTAACGTTCATCAAAATTTTTGGTGCTAATAATTTTTTTTAATCATCAATTATCTCTCCCTATACTTTAATTTGTTGATTGATTAATCGCTGTAATCTTATTCCAACTTAACGCATGCAAGTTTAATTTTCACATCATCAAGTTCACGTACGTAACGTTCTATAACTAACACTCACCAAGCTTAATCAGTTGAAATTTCAAAGTAAAAGGGTTTAATTCATACGCAATAATGATCACTCGTGGGGTATATTTTATTAAGCAATTTGTATTCGGAATTTTTCAAACGAAACAATTTACTATGTTAAAAAGGCTCAATTGGTCTATTCGATCTATTTAATCTGATTTGAAAGATTAAACAATTAGCACGTGTGAGCATGTTCCAACAAAAAAATGAGCATAACATTATAATATTTTACATGTTGATCGGGAGAAGAGATTACTTGTATCTTATTGCAAACCAAATTATTAAGAAACTAGGAAGAAAAGTTGACACCGAAACAGACGCTAATCGCCCAAGAGAAAGGTAAATTAGATCTTCCATAACTCCCCATTTTTAGTATATTTAAAGAACATTTTGAGTATATTTGGAGAGGTATCAGTGCAATTTTGAATGAACTATAAGAGGTAATTAGAGAAATTAATTTCAAACATCATTTGGGGGGATTTTAAGGTAAATATAATAGATTTAAACTAAAATAAAAGTGGTTAAGTTCTGGGTTAAAATAATTTTAAACATTAAAAATATATTTCTTTCAGATGAGGACGACACCGTTTGAAAGCTGGAATATGACGAACTCGTCGTCCCCCCTCCATGCACAATGTTTTTGAATATGTTGAAATTTTACTTTAATAAGTATTTAGTTATTGATTCAGTCTTGTTTTTACGCAGTTGACAAGCAATTACACTGTTAGATTGGTTGTTATAAGTATTATAGGCTTGATTTCTCCTTGGATATGAATGGTTGTTATCGACCAATTTAATAAACATCATTCACTTTTTCATATGTTAAAGGCTCAATTAGTCTGACCGAAAAAGAATTCGGTATGGCGAGTTTAAATTTCAAATTACGTTTGCAAATACTATATTGAATATTCTGAATGAAAGTTTAATTAAGTCGTCTATTCTCAATTCTTTTTTTTTTTTTTTTGTACTAAGCATGGATATCTTTCTATTGGAGGATCAAATGTGAGTACCTCTCACGGCATAAATTTAAATTTTAATTCGTCAAGTTGTAAGAGACTAACTCCTTTCACTATACCTGTTATTGGTTCTGCCTTCAATTTTTGATATTGAAAGAAATTTTTTTTTCGGTGTAGTGGATATATAATATTGAGGAACATGCATGTCCAAGATATCAAAATATATTATAGAGCTAACAGTTCATGATTTGTTTCTAAGGATTAATTTTTGCTAGACAAGTAATTTTGATATATTCTAAGAGGTATTTTAGATAAAATGATATTAATTACCGTTAAGATTATGTAAGATGGCATGCATATTGAAATATGGGACTTTAATGCCTTGTATTAGGATTCGGAAGGAGCACATATGATGAAGGAATTTGTAAAGATAAAAATCACAACGGCAAATAGAAATTTAACAAATAGCTTATATAGTTTATGGATTCAGCTAGCTAGTTGAAAATTTAAATTATTAGTGCATAGATAAACAAAATAAAATATATAAAAAATGCACTGAGAAAGTTTCCCAATTATTTACTCATGATACAAATGTTTCCTTGCTCATCTCAAAATATATTAAGGTTTTCTATCTCAAATGAAAACCGATTGTAATAGATTTTTTTTTTAACCAGAGATTATAACAGATTCACTACCAAAATTTTATGATCAGATCTTCAAAAATCTTCGTAAAGAACATGATAATATGGATGATATATGAAAACAAAGGTGTTCAGAACTTGATTGTATTGGTATGTGAAGGGTACTGGGCAGCTCACAACACCCTTTCCTAATTAATATTTACCATAAGTTAATTGTACAGATTAAATTTAATATGGCCTAAAATATATTTTGATTACTCATATATTATTCTCATACAACAATAAATTGGACAAAGATGAAAGGAAAATAAGTAAGAAAAACATAAAAAGGAAAATTATATGTTTATATCGACCGATCGACTTGATCATAGAATAAAAATCTATAGCCTACATACACTGCAAAAAGAATCAAAGTTCATATATAGTTTGAGATAAAAATACATGATACTGGGTTGATGATTGCCTAAAAACCTTTTTGTGACAAGAAAACGATAGCAAAAATAATTTATCTTTTTTGCAGGCAAAACAGTTTTCTCAAATTAAGTTGTGTTTTATTTTGACCAAAAAAAAATTTATTCGTTATGGATAACGGAAAATACTTTTACAAAACATAAAAATGTATTGAAATCTATATATTAGTCATTATGTTTACTTTTTAAATTACGTTTGCAATTGCAAATCCTATTAAAAATTGCGGACGGAACATGAAGTTGTTAATCTACGCTTTCAGATACCGGAAAAAAACAATTTTTATTCGGCACAAGTGGATATAATATATTGAGGATCCAACGTGGAATTCTCATTCCCTGCTCATCGATCCAACGTGGAATCCTCATTCCCTGCTCATCGATTCGATGAGAGGGAATGCTCATCACGTTTCCTCTCTCTCTTTTTCTATTTTAAAAATTTTTATTAACTTTATTTTTATTTATTTTGGTTAACTTGTATCTAACACTATCAGTTTTTAATAAACTCTACATCATGAAGTATTTTCTCAATAACACCCAGTATCCTAAATTAATTATTTTTAATGAATTTATCATACTAAAATATTTTTCTAGTAGTAGCCGCCCAATATCCTTAATAATTAATAAACTTGAGACTAACACCTTGTAAGTATATTTTATGAAATTTAAACTTATATTTTTCTTTTTATGGATCGGAACGAGGCTACTGCCACCTGGGAGCAGCTTCTCTCCTTTTCTTTTTCTGTCCGCTGCCCCCACTCCCCACCCCCAAGCCTCCAATCTCCAATGCCTTGCTGACACGCTGCCTCTCTCCCTCGGTCCCTTTCTTCCTCTTAACACAAGTGTTTCGTCCATGTTCTAGGACAAAAAGACAAAACTGAAAAAATGGTATTTCTATTATTTTTATACAGGTTATTTTTGTAAGGAAATATTATTACCTTTATCTAATTTGAACTATCTGAATTGGTTTTGTATGATTGAGATTCTATAACAAATAAATTTTATATAAGCATTTTATTCTTAAAAATTTTTATTTTTCATTTTTTTTGGTAAAATCTTTTTCATTTGGTTTTGTTTTGACAACTTAGATGTTGTATAGCCAATATTTACATTAGCCATAACAGATTATGGGTAAAGCAAATAATATTTGTGGTTGACAAAAATTGATAAGAATTAGCCAATTAATTTTTAAAAAAAACAATAAAATCATTATTATGTTCATTTTAATCTGGACCATCCAAATTGATTTTGAATGGTCCAGATTCAATTTTATTTTCC